GAACCAGAGCGAAATTTGTGGCTAAATTATTAAGGAACATCTAAAGATTCCATCCATTTGATGCTCTTCAAACGTTGCTTGAGTAAATATAACAACCATTAACTCTTTCATGCATATCCATTTTAGTATTATAATCCCTAATAAAAATTAGAGGTATTTATATACATACTACCTACTTTCCATGTATTTATATATCTAACACCTAAACCTTACTTCTTACATTTATGCCACACAAATATTCCATTATCAAATCACTATTTTAACTTTTTTTAAAAAATAAAATGCATCTTTTCATGCAAGTATAAATAAGTTTGTATGTAAAAATTAAAGTTTAGGCGTTAGATAGATTTGTAAATACATAACAATTAAAGTGATATGTTTGTAAATATTTCTAAGATTTATAATGTCGTAGCATCTCCACCATAGTAATCATATAACTTTCTGAATCCACTTCACTTGTACTCCAACAATAAAATATATAAATAAAAAAATTAAAGAAGATGTCGACAAAGAGAATAAGAACAAATATTAGGAAGATTGATATAAAAATTATTATAGATTTTCAAAAAGCTCCCACCCTTGGGCTATTCACAACCTCCCATGGATTCTCATCTCCCCGCATCCATATCTACAAAACCGTTACGCAGATTCTTTCCAAAATTCGCCACCGCGCCTGCCCCCACTTTCACACCCGTAACTTGGGGAGCTCCCGGGCCCACCTTGTGGGCCATAGAATCCATTCACAGATTTTGATAATATTATTTAAATTATTATAAATTAAAATATTTTATAAAATATTCATAATAAATTTTAGGAAGAACATTAAAACTGTCATCTTCATTTGTTAATTACAAAAGGAGCTTTACATTATTAGAATGAGACACCAAAGCCCTGGCTTGGTTGAACTAGCCCAAAATAGTAAAAATGTTCCGTGTTGATCAGCTAGGTCTAGTTTAGATGCAAATTGATAGATATTGAGGTAATATTGAGATGAATACTATCAATTCACACATACAAACCACATGAAAATAATCGGGTCGAATCAGACCTCACGGGGGTCTACGAAAATTGAGCTCGCCGGAGCCGAGCGGGTCCAATCACCAACAGCTCCGTCACTATAATCCTCAGCCAAGCGCTTGATACACCAGAAATCTTTATCAATGGATAACCTCTGCCAATATGGTATTCCCGGCATAAAAGGCTCGCACGCCGTCACCTCCGTGGCAACAATCCCGCAACCTCCGGCACGCGCCATATTGTGTGCGTGACTGCAGAGCACGCGCATAAGAGACGCCGAAGAAGGCCCCTCGCCGCCGAGACCGTACAAAAAATAACCCCCAAATGGCCGAAAGATGTTGGGGAACGATGGAATGCGAAGCCAGGGAACCGAGCGGTCTAAGACACGGGTTGTCCATGCGAGCACCCGCCGCAGTAACGACACGCCGCGCACCTCCAAACGGAACAGGGATTTGGTGTCCCAGATACTGAGGACCGCCCATGAATCCGGCGGTTTAGCGAGGAAGCTGTCGAGGTTGGCCCAACTGTAGCCGGAGGGGAGAGCAAGGAAGGTTCCGAGGGAAAGGGGGTTGCGAAGGATGGAGTCTATGTCGCGGGGGAAGAATTCAACGGTAGACAAGCGGCGGCGGTAGAGGGTTTCAGCATCGGCGGGGGAGAGGTGGATGACGATAGCAGTACGGCGGAGGGGGAGGCGGTGGCCGGCGAATACTGGCTGTACGAGCAAGCTTGGGGTGCGGAACTTGGTGTAGCCGCAGCGGCCGGTGAATAGGCTGAGGGAAGCCTCGTTGTCTTTATCGGTCGCCATATACGCATACTCGGCTCCATGGGAACGGAACCAGTCCTCCATTTGCTGCACGAGCTGCAAACCGACCCCCATGCGGCTGGGAGAGAATAATTATTTCAATTTCATTAATTGTCTAATCGGGCTAAAGTTAGAGCACATTGATAATAAATGATTGCTTAGGTGAGACACGTTTCACGTACCGGTAGCGAGGGGAGACGCGCAGGCCGACGATGCAGGCGGCTTTGGTGTATATGGCGACGGCGGCGGCGGCGGCGGCCGCAGGACGGGGTGCTCTCTTGCCGCAAGTGATGGTTTTGACGCAGCCGCGAATGAGGCCCACAATCTCTTTCTTAGGCCCGACAGTTTCGGCGACCTTCAGGTAAAAAAAAAAAAAAACAGGGAAAAGGAATTTTAAGCAAGACCGACAAGTCTCTTATTTATTCAAGCTATGTCTGGGAGAAGGATTTCAGTGGTGGCATTGGAATGGCTTCCATACCAACATAAGAAAAGCTGGGGAATGGCGGACACGGCAAGTGGGGTCGCCGAGGAGGTCGGTGAAAATGGAAACGGCGCCGCTCTGGCCTACCTCGCAAGACAGCTCCACCGCCTCTGCGCCGGCGAGGTCTTTCTCTGCTTCGTATTCCCGTACTATAACTTGCATCTTCCTTGCCTGCTCTGTTATCATCTCTCCTCTGTTTCTCAAAACTGTGGCGTTGAATGGTGGAGGAGTGTGGGAACCAGAGCTCTCTGTTCTGTGTTACAGTGAATAAACGCACTGGTTATTGAACAACTCTTCTAGTTAAGGAGCGCCAGCATCAATACAAGCTGATTCGCCTCTACTTCTTCATCTTTTCACCGTTCTTCTTTGGAAATCTTATTTACATTGAATAAACGTAGCTGGCGAACTCTCTCACTTGGAATTCGTTATTAGAGTGAGCAGTACATGGTCGGCTACCTCAAAGGGGTATTTATACTCATCTTCTTAGGTATGGTGCCGCTTGCCCTCTCTCTCTCTATTCAGAATCCGCTCACATGTTATTCTCTAATAGTCAAGGGTGGTATCTATGTACCTGCCATGTGATATAATGGCTGATATTGACGGCCTCAAAAGAAAAAGCGTCGCAGTCTCTGCCCTACCTGTATCTGTATGTTTATGTGAAAATGTATACGGAATAGAATTATAAGAACTGAGTACAACAAAATACGGCAAAGGGAAAATATTAGACTTAGGAGATTTTATATCTCATGATGATTCATGTTTTGTCTGTGAATCATAGTTTAAGAAATAGAATATAAGAAATGAGAGAGAGATTGAGAGAAGAGTAAAGAGTTGAGAGAGAGAGAGGATACATTGAAAGAGAGGGCTAAAGAGTAATGAATAATAAATTATTTTCTCTATGTCTGCATTCATAGAAAAGATCTTTTTATTTTGTAGGGGAGGGGGTATAACATAGTGAAATTATAATTTTGTTTATGCTTTAATGGGGCCTACATAGATTTTTTAAAATATTTTTCTAATATGAGTCTAATGTTTGGCTGCTCTATGACTCGATCAGCTAAGCATATTTGGCCTCAACTTAGTAAGGTTGGTCCAGTCGAATGGGATGTGTCGGTGCTGTCGGTTGACTGATCTTGATTTTCTTTGGGCCTGCATTAATGATTCGGTCAGCTAAGCTTCATTGATTAGTTGATATAGTTTGGGTTGTCGCCCTTTGATTCGTAAACAAGTAGCTCGTGTTTACGGCGTGAGACTAGGTTATTGGGCTTAGGACGAATCACTCTAACAAGATGGGTAGTTCATTCGTTCATGAGGAGAGCATGTATGATGAATAAGACTATTGTATTGCTCATTCTTGGTCTCTGATGAGGAGCCAGAGGGGCGTATGTAGGACGGCTAATGATAGTGAGAAGTTGGATTCTTTTCTGGAGTGGGATTTGTCGTAAGGTACGTCGAAGCCTTCGATCCACCTTGTAGCAGCAAGCACATATGATTATATGTCTTATTTTATTTCAATTGGTTCAAATTCAAATGATTCAATTGTTCTTTTTGTCTCTCCTGATCGGTCACCATATCCGATTTGATAAGTGAGTCTCATGGTTCTCACTTGTTCGACCTTTTTTATCATGTTTTCTCTTCTCTAGACCGTTGGAACCATTGAGATCCATGCAGACACATTTTTCATGTACCTATTTATTATAATGCTAAATATGTAATATATGCTTATTTTAAATTTTGTACTGTATGAAGAAAAATTTTATTAAGAAAAAAGTTGTGACTTATCGCCGGATATTGTTATGAATTGTGTGAATCCTCTTTTATGTGCGAAGTGGATGAAAATGAATAAAAATATTATAAATTTGTGGTGGATGATTCATTTATGGATTATGTGTTGCTATTATCAAGATTGCATATTTCTCAAATTTGATCTTTAGAATTTAAACTCCCTTTCAAAACTCTTTATCAAGCTCCACTACTCCAATGGATTTTTGTTACCGGGAAAGGGAAAGAAAACAGAACAGAGCTGCCCAAGAGCTGCCCTGTCTTATATATATCCCATATATAAAGAACTTAACATACATAGCATTTTAAATATTGTAATTTATACTAATTTTTTATATTTACATATATATCACTCAAAAAATAATAAAACAAAACAAAAAATAGCACTCATAGAAACACTTTCCATTAGTTGGGGTCATGATCTCATTTGGTACCTTCGAAGCCGACTTCTTCTTGTGAATATATGATGAGCGTTTGAGCTTAGCCAACATCATTGCCGTCCGATTTTGATCTTATGTTTTCATCAGAGTCGGTCTATTGCTAATCATAGCCAGCCTAGTTGATGATTTCTAATTAGTCACTTTATCTTATTAATAAGCTCCATGTTTGGCTGGTTGGCTATAAACAAAGAATTATATCCTCTGCAAACTAATTTTAACCAATTTAAATTACTATTCAAAATTATCTTTATCTTTGGTTTTGGTCTATCAGCTTGCCTAAAGTCATAGAAAAATATTTCTTCAATGCCTATTTTTTTTTTCATTATAATAGTGAAGAGGAAGATAAATATTATAGCCTGAAATAGTGTTACACATCTTAAATCCTATGATATGATAGTCATATGATTCTTTTTTCAAATAACATTAATCTTATGTGCAAATTGATAGGTATGGCTCATATACCATAAAGGGAAATGCTGGAGCGGAACGAAGCGAGCCGTATATATATATGTATATATATATATATATATATATATATGTATATATATATATATATACATATATGTACATATATATATATATATATATATATATATATATATATAGACATATATGTCCTGTGTGTAATCCTAGGAATAATCTTGAATTCTTTTCTGAGATTGAAGGAAAGCTATCGCTCTGCCCCCGATGACGTAGGCATTTTTGTCGAACCTCGTTAAATCTTTATGTGTTCTTCTGGATTTAAGTAAATTCCTATTTTTCGTTGCCCTAATTTCTCAACACTAATCTAAAATCATTTGGAGTCATTAAAATTCTAACTCATTTTTAACTGTCAAACGAACATGAATAAGATGAAAATCTAAGCATTATATTCGCAATAATATTAGTAATTTCGTCTAATTCAATTTTAAAAGATAATTTGTCATTAATAGAAACCAATTAATTAAACTAATTTTTATATCAAATCGTGAAACCGAGTGGAGCGATTATGTCATAAGACATTTAGCCGCATCAATCGCAACCGTCCAAATTACCAACATTGGATAGCACGCCTCATCCTGACCATCGAAACCAACAATCAAGCTCCTTCGCGTTGAACCAATGAAAGCCGCAAGAACTATCCATAGACCAAAGTCATCAAATACGTCGCCATCGTGACAAAAATTGGAGCCCGAAATCAATTATTTTAATTAATTCAATAGAATTCTTCGTCCTCATTAGAAAATTTCAATTACTTGATGATTAAATAAATTATTTATGAATCGATTTATATAGATTAAAGCAGCATATAATTAATTTTAAATCCAAGTTAACATATTCAGATAATACATATTTACTGATAAGACCAATATTTACTATCTCTCTATATTCTGAAAATGAGGGGAAAACGATGTATATTTGATTCTCATTGATTTAGTGCCGTTCGTTTCTTTAGCATTATTTCCTTATTATTTTATTATTTGAATATTTTATCATCTTTCAGAAATGATTATATAATATGAAGCATTTTGTAATTTTGTATAGTTTAAGAGTGGTACGAACGGATTAATTATAATCCCATTATTGATTTTACATAATGATATTGATATATAGATACCGTTAACACAAAGTACAATGCCTTTTTGTTTGAGGAGACGTACGCATGGCTTTGCCCTTGGCTTTCAAGTTATGGGATCAGCTTTATCAATTATTTATTTCCATTGTTATTGTGAAGCCCACATTTAATAAGAGTGAAGTGCCAAAATAATCCCCAGATGTGTCCAGACTCTTTAAATTAGAACTAAAATAGTCCACATTAGGTACTATTAAAATACATTTGCGATTATTTACATGTGATCCTCTTAGTCGTAGAGTTTAAAAAATTTCTAAAATAGTCCCAGATTCGTTAGACTGGGAGCTGAAATATTTCCCATAAAGGACTATGGAGCTCAATTTAAAATAGTCAAACTATTTTAACAATTCTATAAACTCTTGGGACTAATAAGAAAAAAAATATTACGTCCAAAAGTCCGCATGTCGGGACGGCCACCCATTGGGCGCAATGCTGATTACTGATGAGGTGTATGGTGACATGGTGCCCAACGGTTGACCGTCCAGAAGTGCGACGTTCATATAGAATATTTTCTCCTAAAATGGCAGGATTGTTTTATCACTCTACTTGATTTAATATAATTAAGTCAAAAATCAATGATTAAAATAACTTAATGTCCCAATAAAAAATAAGATTTCCTACTAACTTTTTCAGTGATCTTACACCATCTGCTTAGATTCCCATCTCCAATATGAACCAATATGCCATAAATAAAACAAAATACTTATTGGTATGTATCAATTAATTAATTTAATCATCATGAGTAACAAATTTCCTGCACATTTGGTTTGGATAAATAAAAACAAAAACTCATAATTTAAAGATAAAAAATGATGGAAAAGGGATATAAGGAGCCAGTTAAATAATATTTCACTTGCTGCAGCACCATGAAGTTGACATAAGAAATTAAGCGGTAATAGGGAATGATTAATGTTATATGGCGTCATTAACTATGTTTATCCGCATAAAACTCTCTAGATCGATTAAAGTTGACCCCTACAGGTAGATTGCCAAATTAATCAATTTTATTGACTGAACTAAGACCCTCTAGGTAGTAAAGGTAAAAGCTGTAATTATTATTACAAACATCGCACCGTAGAGTTTGTCTCTTTGGGCAAACTCACACTGACAGTTTATTCAAAAAGCTGCTGCTGAAATTTGTGTTTTCTCATCGGTTCGGGATTGGTGCAATCACAGCTTTCTAGCTGCGATCTGACTTAAAAAAAAAAAAAAAATGTAATATCCACTGCAATTTTTGTAACATCATAATATTTTTTTAGCAGCTTAACAACAACTTATTAATAAACTGCAGCTGCCCCAAATAAATCCTAAATCCTATTATAAATCCAATTAAAATACACTAAAAAACTCTTCTCTGCAACTCTCTCTTTTGGTCGTTAGAGCACATTCAAGTAGAGCAATGTCTTTTCAAGAAATAAATTAAGAGACAACAATAATTATAAATTGAGTGATTAACAATTATGAGTTTTCATGTAATTTTATAATGTTTAGACGCTCTAATTGCATTGGAAAAGAAATTGTCAAGACTAGCTAAATTTTATATTACGATGAACCCTAAACTCTTTAAATTTGCTTTGGAATGCGTGCAAATATGCCTTACATAATTACACTTATTGCAAATAATATTAAAATATTCAAGAGCTTTAATTACAACTCTTTAATTGAAAATAAGA